TATATATATATATATATATATATTTGCATTTTACAAATTAAAGTAACTGTTAAAGACTGGTTTACGCGCGAGTGTCGTTAACTTTATTTCGCGAGTGAGTGTCTTGTGAGTGTCATGGATGTGCAACCATAGAGAAATGAGAGAGCTGAGGAGGCCAGGGTGGCATCTGGCAACGGCGGAACAACCCCTCGGTGAGAAAATTTATGACTTATTTCATTTGCTATTTCTTATTTACGTAAGACTCACATTCGTTTATTCCCGCAGTAAAATTATACTTTACGAGACCCTACGTTATTTTAATATAATGCATTCGAAATCTTTTATGTTATTTTGAGATATTACGATATTATAAATTGCCAGTGTCTTAGATATTTTAAATAATAAAAATGGGATATGTACGATAAGAATTTCAAATAATAAAAATAAAATGCACAGATATTATTTAGATTATTCATTATTTGCTATTATAATTTGAATATATTTATATATATTTTTACAGATTTATGCAGCTGTGTTACAACTCCGCCGTTGCGCATCGGTGAGTTATAAATTTTCTTTAATTTTAAGGCTGTTGATTGATTTATGAAAAAAATTGGTATGTGACGTATGTGTATATAAAATAAGAAAAGGTCGAAAAAAACCGAGAAATTGAAAAGAAATATTATAACAGAGTTGTGATATATAACTCCGTTTTCTTAAAATACTACTTCTTAATATACTATCTATAATACATATTAATAACACATATATGTATATATATATATATATATATATATATTTGTATATATATGTACATATATGTATATATATGTATATATTTATTTCTACAACACATGAATTAATAAGCAATGATAGTTTCATAAAAGAAAAACTACAGAAATATATCAGGAAAACTGTTAGCAGTTAATTGTTAAGCAATTGTTTCGCTCATTTTTATTCTCTGTAGGTTTGCTATCAAAATTAATTAAATTAATTAAATTAATGATAAAATTTACACATTTTTAACGTTGAATCACTGATGTAAAAAATAATGGGATACATGAATAATACAATCTAAAACATCGCCATATTTATCTTATTCCATATCAGCAATGAGAAACCAAAAAAAAAATGTTAAGACAGACCTACAAAATTCTTACGCACGCATCGTTAATATAAGTACCATTTACTAGAAACGTTTCGTGATAGTGGGTAGTTGATAGCAATAAAGCGTTATCTGACTTCCACTCCGAGTCACTTAACGTCTGCGGGGACATTTAAAGTTCTTGGAAGCGCAAACCATCCACGCTATAAAACACTACCTTACCACCTTCGTCGTTAGCTACTTATTATAACGACATTATTCTCGCTCCTCCTCATTAGCTATCCTATCAACGACACTTTCTACCATCCTTTCCCCGTTTTAAGTTCACTCACAGTTGACGATGCCGCCGGGATAAGTAGATGTACTTTTCTCCATCTTTTCTGCACTTCGTCTTCTTTCTCGCGACCGTACTACTCTTCGACACATCTTTGACGATCGTGACTGAATTAATTTCAGTTCGGTGCGCGTAGTCAATCCATTTATCTCAAGAACGAGTTGTTACGCCGTAACTCTACTATATATCCTCAGCGATATCAGGAAACAGAACATTATTATTCGCATAGATATCAGATTTCCGTGTTTTCGTGAAACGTTCGAATGATAATAACGTCGTCCAGCATACAATTGAACGAATAAGATTATTGAAGCTCATTGTATAGATAAAAATCGATCCGTGTTTACGTATTCAAGTAATATTGAACATCTGATTATTTTCGCAATTTGAAAGAGTTACATTACGTTAGTTTACGTAAATACGCAGTACGTAGAAAAACTGGGAAACACTTGTTTTAGAAATTCACTTGTTATTGTTCGATAAAATAAGAGTAATGATTTTAGTGTGAATATTGCAAAATTAATTATATCGTCACCCCGATAGATCGCTCTAATTAATCAACGCTCCATTTAGTTCAAATAAACTTTTGTCTATCCATCCTATAAAATCCGCGAGGCGTTAACTCGTATCACGGCGGCTAATTCAATATATCGTTTTGTGCATATGTCTGTATATGACGGATCAAAACTACCCGTATCTAACTATATAACATCATTCTGCATGTTAACTAAAATTAGCGTTTGCTAGTGCATTTGACACGATAGTCATTTGAAATTTTCCTGACTGGCTGATTAATTCATGACATGACGAGAGAATTTAATAGCAAAATACATCACTCTAATACGGTGTATAAAGTATTCTAAATCTATTATTAATTGCCTCTGTTTGTTTTCAAGACAATTCGCGCGAAAAAGATGACGTATTTTTTAAAAACTTCTCCAGGGCTTATGAAATTACGCGAAGTTAGTGAATTATCTAGTTCCTCGAGAGGCAGCAAGACGTGTAGACACTAAACAAAAAGTTGGTATCCATTTTTTATACAAGTCAGTAAATTGCCTCACCGAAGTTTAACTGCGGCTCTAGTTAAGATGAAAACTTTGAATCGAAAGAGAGGAGCTTTTCTGACGAAGTGATCACACATTTCTTGTGAATCAAACTCATTCACCATATTTCGCGATGCATATTCACGAATCAATACATAAAACTTACTTGGAATATAACGGAAAGTTTTTTACGAATGTCCTTTTCTCTCGAACGTGGCATTAGCATTTAATCTCGTTGAAAGGAAAAAAAAATTAATAACTTATTTAAAAGTAACGCGCGTTATTTAAACTGATTACTTAACTATTTATATCTTTCTTTATATACATTGTGCGATT